TGTGGCCTTCAATGATACTTTTGTTTAAGTGTTCGCGATCACTCACTATGCTTGCTCGCAAATGATTTTCATGCCTTTCAATACGCAAACGTACGCACATTATACACACAAATAATATTCAGAAGTCAGCATGACCTGGTGTAATCCTTGAGCCCAATAATGTATTTCAAAATACGTGATATCGTACATTTGCAATATGGATTGTTCTTTGTTGTTGTTTTTTCTTTTCATATCATCAAAGACTTGGAGTAAATGAATCTCGGCAACCTTGTTTATTCTCGGAGAGAGGAACATCTCATCTATTAGAAAAGCATCCTTTTAAAAAGGATGGGGGGTGTCATATATCTGAGTCGACAACCTATTTCTCGAGAGTGAGAGAACATGTTTGAGAGTAGGCCAATATTTATTTATCTGATGCGACACTACGCGACTCTTGCTGGAAAAAACTGTTAAATAGGAAGAGCGCCACCTATAGGCTTTCTTTTTCATTGACGCCTCTTCAAATGTTCTGCAACCAACTTACCCCCACCTTGCCTTGTTTTTAAATTATGATTACTAATATAAAATCGTGAAAATGCGGAATTTAAACTTGCCGAAAACCCTCTCTCTCCCTCCCTCCCCCTCCCTCTCTCTCTCTCTCTCTCTCTCTCTCCGTCCATCTCCCCTTCCCTCTACATCTTTCTTCCTCTCCAACTGTTTCTGTTGGGTTGAGGATACCCCCTTGAACCTTGGTTTGGTTAAATCAGCTTTGGAACTTAGATTAAACGATATTGATTTGCAAAATTGGAATAATTAAGTTTATAGAAATTGTTTATGCTTAAATTATAGGCTTTTTAAACGGGAAGGTGGTTTGGAGAGCTATTTGTTGAAATTGGGCGTATGTGATATATAGGATACCTCTTTGTAAGTTTCGTTGTGGTAATAACAAGCTGCCAGTTACCAAATGTCGTTATTTATCTGATCAACCTCTTGAGTTGTGTTCCCTATGTAATATTAAGGTGCAGGGTGATGAATTTCATTATGTTTTGGTGTGCCCGGCTTTCAATGACTTTCGTATTAGCAGTATGTTAAGAAATATTATTATATTAGACCTAACGTTATCAAATTTCATCAGTTATTCAATGCAAATTCTGTTAAGCAGTTAAAGAACCTTTCCAAATTTTGTAAGATCATTATGTCTAATTTTGGATAATTTGTTTTGTCCTTTTTAATACCTTAGAGTTGTTGTTTAATTGGTTGTTGCCGTTTTTAGTAGCATAGTGTACATACATGTATATAGTAGTGTTAGTACTGCCAGTTCAGATGTAGGGTATCTTTTTTGTTTAAGTAGACCTATATCCTTAAGCTTGCCTTCATTTTGTTTGTTGTTCGCTGCCAAAGATTTTCTTTCTTTTAAAGATTTTCTGTGTGTGTTTAAAAAAAAAAAAAATCTATATGAATATCATTGTTGAACATTATATATGTACTATTCAACTGTATTTCTTCCATGCCCCAGAAGGGGCCGTTAAAGAAATAAAAAAATCATTGTCATTGTCATTGTCATTGTCATTGTCATTGTCACACTCTTCCCCCTCCCCCCCCCCCCCTCTCTCTCTCTCTCTCTCTCTATTTACATATACATCGTATGTACAGCTCTGTTTTAAAATATGAACTGCCTGTTTAGAGCCAGAAGAAAAAAAATACTTAGTGGTAAATGCCCTTTTGGCTCCAAACAAGACAATAATTTTGTTATCACCCAATGCCTCCCCCCCCCCCCCCCATTTCTCTTTCTCTCTCTCTTCATCTCATGGGAACAAGTATGCGATCGCTAATCTTTACTCAGTCTCATTATTCCTTTCCTACCCTTTCTTCCTCTTCCTCCTCCGCACCTTTACTTCCTCTGCTTCTCCTTCTCGCGCTCTCTCTCTCTCTCTCTTTCTCTCTCTCTCTCTCTATCACTCTCTCTATCTCTATCTCTCTCTCTCTCTCTCTCTCTCTCTCTCTATATATATATATATATATATCTTTCGCTCTCTCTCTCTTTCTCCCTTTTATTTCATACTGATGCTTTCACATTCTTGCAAATTGCCAAAGCCTTAAATGTATAATTTGAAATGTGATATGTGAATGATACCAATCATGGTAGCAACTGAATCGGATTTAATTGTGCAAAATCTTGTTTGCTTCTTTATTGATATATCGATCATTACCATGGCAGCCTTTTAACCATGTTTTTTTTATGCGAAAATCATTTGTATACACCGCCCTACATTTTACTAAACTGGTCCAAAGACAAACCAAAATCTGCATTTTACCTATACAAAGTATAAGTTGTTTAATTAATTGTAGCATCTATTTGATTATATAATTCCCAGATTTGGGGTCGAGTGTTGATCACAAGTCGGGGTTTGAGTCCCGCCGCGACACTAATGTCCTTTGGCAAGACATTGATCTACATTTGCCACACTCAACCCAGCTGATGTAAATGGGTACCTTGAAATGCTAAAGCGCTGTAATGGCAGCACAGCTAAAACAGGGATAATAATCTCCAAGTTTGGAAGCGCTTAGATAGTTAATTGTAATTCGCGCTGTATAAAAGCTGAGTATTAATATTACTGATTTCTGTTATTGTCTCTGTTTCTGTTATTGAAGAAAATACACTACCCATCTGGCTATGCAATTGCCAATCGCAACATGTAATTCATTCGAAATTCAAACAAATGTATTTATATATTGTATATAAAACTTCAACATAATTTTATTACAAATATGGTTCAAATATTCAGATTTCTGAATATGTACCAAGTAATGTGCCATATTTGTACAACGAAGGCGACACGACACATGCTTCGGCTGCGGTTACTCCAGGCTTTATTTCATTAGGGATGTGGGGTTGGGGCCGGTCTGGGGGCTGGGTCTGTGCTTGTTGATTTTTTTTGTTGTTGTTGTTTTTGTTGATTTTTTATTTTGTGTTTTGGTATATGATGATACAGTATTGTTGGTACTTGTTATTTTTTTGCAATATATATTCATACATTATTTAAATTGTAGGGTCGTACACTCTTACAAGCCTACCCTTGGCTTTTTACGTACGCCTCCTTTTCCATTCATTTTTACAATATTATTATGAAACTTATGTATTTATTTTTTGTACCATTTGTGTTTTATATTTGATGTTGTTGTATTTTTATGAATTGGAATAAAGATTGAAATGGTCTTGGCGTTGGATGCGGTGAAGTTTTCTTGTTCAGGGTTGGGATTGGAAGTTTGAATAATGTACTGAATTGCCGCGGAGTAATTGTAGCTGGAGCAGGTGTCGTAGAAGCACAATTATATATTATATGTACAACACGAATTGCAATTTTACTACCATAAGGTTAATACGCATATGTATTACGTGCAATTTTACTTTTTCACCGATGTATACTTTGTAAAATTCAGCTCTCGGGCCGCGAATGTTTTTTTAATGAATTAAAGTATTTTAAATAAGCAATGACAATTCAATTTAAGACACTTATGTACAGTTTGTTGGTGGGTATTATACATTCAAAGTTTATATTTTGTACATCTGTTTGTTCATTACTTTAATATTCATTATTCATTCATGTTTTTCGTTATTGTTTCATATATTCATTTACTTCTAATAATAAAAACGAGCGTTGCAACTTGTTTAATTGAAATAGTTCGATTCTTCTGCTTCGAATTATTTGTTTAAGCAATAAAATGAAATGTGAAATTCGAACATTAAACGATTGACCATAACTAATATATTTTGGAGAGATTAAAGTTTTAAAATATATAAAATTTGCTCCGGCTGTAATAAGTGGCTATTGTAATAATTGCTAACATTAATTGAAGTTCTAAATCATGTAACTTACCAAAAAAGAAATCAAAATCTACTCTTTGAAAAAAATTCTTGTCATATTATTAAAAAACGCATAGTTGAAATTATGTATGCAGTGTTTGGATACAAGTTTTAACATATCAATATACACAATATGGTTAGGATAATGATAATGAAGGTTATGTCTATTACTGTTCTTAACCATTCAGGTAATTGATTAGTAATTCCGTAATTCAAATGATATTATTTCTCATGCAAAACATAATACAAGAATAATTATATCACAAAAACTATGCAAACGGAAACGACAAATAAAATGGAAAAAGCACGAGAAAAGAGAAAGTAACTTGAAGTAGAGCTTGTTGAAGTGTTAGTTCCTCAGATGCCGTTTTACAATATAATATGAACAAAGTATGCTTAGAAATACATGTTACATTAAATGTTATAAACAAATCAACTGGATTTTCCCCTGCTTACAACGCATCACGTCCAGAATCATATGGCATTAGAGACCGGTCGGCCCGATGAAGCATCCAGGAGTGAACCTGGAACGTCACAAGCTTAGATTTTTGTTAGTACACTTGGCTTGATGAAGATTCTCTGGTGATTTATAAACTGAGTACTCTCTGGGGAACATCCATTATTATCTTTAGGATGAAAAGGAGCATTATTTTCTCCGGGAATGGATCAATAAGAACGAGTTGAGAAATCAGATCTTCTTCTTCCAAGATGTTGGATTCCTCGTCGGGTTTTCCACCAGAAGATACCAGAGGGGCTATCTCAGACATACATGTATCTTCAGGTAGGACTTGCATTTCATGTACGGACGATTGGTCAGCAGGTTGAATGCTACTTACATTGGTCATATCATCACCAGCATGAACTTCTCCAGAGGACACGTCTCCAGAAGTCACTTCGGATGCATCCAAGTTCTGTGTACTGCACACCGGTGATTTGTCAGGATGTTGACTCCTACTTCTATCTGTCAAGTGATCCTGGGTTTTGGAAGCCATGTCTCCCGTTTGCCCATCTCGAGGAGTGTGGTCATTGCTTGCTGTAGCGTCCTGAAGTATCTGGGTGTCGGTCTGTCCTTTGGTCTGTTCCTCTTCTAGAGAGGCCTCATCTCTAGCAAAGAGCTGCTCATCATTGACTTCTTCTTTATCATATTCAGCATCGATCTGTTCTTCTACTACACCTAACCGGCAGTAAGAAAGAAAACAGATAATTGGTTTATTTCTCAAAACACATCGAATTGATTTATTATGATTGTGAAGAATTTATCGCAGTGAATTTCAAATTTCTTTTATTTTTATGTTCACCAGGTATAGTAGATGAGAACTTGAAGTTGGCAGTAAGTATATGTTTGGCTTTTCGTTCGTGAGGAAAATGCTCACTGAATGTAGTACCTAAGCTCTTTTTAAGTATCTCCTCTCTGCATTACGTCACCTTAGTATTTATATCAACAGTGTAAAAATGTGTAAAACGAATCTGCTTCAGAAAATTCCGTCAATCTGACTTTAAACACATGGGCCGTATTGTATACCGAATAGAACAGTATGTTGCTGAAGTGTTGAATTGGTTCCTCGATTACGAAACTACAATTGTTCTTAATAAAAATATACGTTACCTTCGCTGAGATACAGGTCTGCAAGGTTGACCAACTTGGCAGCGTGCAGTGCCTTCGTTAGCTCAATCCGTTCATCTTCCCTGGACACACCTTCTCTCCATTGTTTCAGCATATGACGAGTTCCATCACTGGTAACACGGTTGAACTTCACATTGGTCATGAGCGCTCTCTGTATATCACCATGTAGGATTCCCAGCTGACCAGCAAGGCTGTCGATCTTTGCTTCATCGTAAAGATCGTCAGCTATCTTCGTTAAGATGTCTGCAAACTCATCATCTGGGGGCTCCTCTCTAGAATGGTAAAAAGGATAATCATGGGGCGGTCAGAGAACGTAGGTATGACGAATCAACTTTAAAATTAATACAAATCTTTACTTAGGTGAAGAAGAAAAAAGTCAAAATAAGTTCTTCCCGTAATGAGACTATAGAGGATTATGTTATATTATAACTCTAATCAAGAGTATCATCTTCTATTTGTTTTATTACAGAACGATTTCATTGTTAAAGTCAACCTAAAGCAGTTGACTGACACAAATAGACAGCGATCCCATTTAGAGACCATGCTCGACATGATCGAATTATTAAATTGTATTCAAATTTATTAAAGGATTTCACTTTCAACTCATATCACTATAGACTGGAATGTATAGCTAAGATTTGCATGTTTTTGTTAATAAGTTGCAATCTGTTATCCACTTCTTCGTTTACATAATCAAAGGTGGTCACGAAATTTCTAAACCTGATTTTGGATTCATAGAATATAAGTGTTGCCGTATTTTTAGCACTATTGTTGACCGTCTAGCACCAATCATTTTACACACCAAAGTACATTCCGTAGTAGTGTTGTCACTATAAGAGAAATAATGCGTTTATTGTCAATTTGCCATGTAAAGAGTAAAGATATTCATCTCACCCTGCTTGTAATGTATCACTCCTTCCCAGTCCTCCGGTTGAATTATCCTCATATGATGCTGTGCCTGTCATGAAGGAATGAAGTCAGTTTGAATGAGAAGGGGATAAAAATTAAGATACAAATTTAGAATGTTCTCTATCGTTCACTGTATTGGTATTCTAAGTAATTTCAAAGTATAGCAAAAATGGGGAAGGGAGCTTTAAAGACCATATTGGATTTGATAAGCTTCACCTTATACATATTTCAAAAATAAGCAAGAAAATGGATTTGACTTTAAGTACAATTAAAAAAAAAAAAACTTTTAAAGGAAATTGAGATTGGAAAATAAAGTCTTACCACTCGGAGCTTGTTTTCCAGAAGCCATCCAGGGAATGAAACTCCATTGATGTATCTCTGCTTTCTTCTTCTGCTCTGCCGATCGTATCTCACTTTCTAGTTGAATTTTGGTTCTCAGCTTCCAGGTCTCACGCTTAAGTTGCTCAACCTGACGTCTTGCCTTCTCTTCTGTCCTCTGTACATTTTCAGCCATTGTTTCGATACGCAGATCCTTTGATTGTAGTTTCTTTTTAAATTCCATCTCCCTCTGCTTGTACGTCTCCATTATCTGTTTTGCTTTTTTCTCGTTTTCCATCATTGCCCTTTCACTATGTTCATGCCTTTCTTGTTCAACCTTCATGGTATCTTGTAGTCTTCCATTTTCACTGACTATGCTTGTGCGACTTGTACGGAACTCGTTGAGTTCCTGCTCTAAGTCTGTAATTCTTCCTTGGAGTAACTTCTTTGCTTCTTCTCCTTCTTTAATTTCTTCTCCGTGCCTCTTCTGTGCTTCTGTGACACCCTTTCTCCCTTGGTTCCATAACCGTTCAAAGCTGGGAAAAGAATAAAGCTGTATTAGGTCAGCAGATATCTCTTCGTCACCTTTCTTCAGGCATCCATGGAGGAGGTGAAGCCACTGCAACCGTGTCTCAACTGAGGGATCGCAACAAATGGAAGGTACGTCATAGATGTCAGTGATCCGGTGCTTTTTTAGTTGAATTTTTGCCTTCTCGATGACTTTACTTTGCCCGGTAGTTTCCTTGGCACATATAGGGACGTGACCTATCCAAAAGAAAACAATTCAGTTCAATCGAAGAAGTCATTTAATCGTCTTATGAACTCTATGTAACCCATATTTATCACCTAATCTCTTTTTTAGAGGGGGGGGGGGGGGTCGTATATTTTTACACCAGAGTAAGGATCGAATCTGTTTATTTTTCATTCTCATCTGTGCTTTCAAATACTGCCATTAAACGTGCTGTATGTGCATACAGTATACCACCATTTTCTAGGGTTGTAGATATAACTGGCAAGTGAGAGAATGATCGATGGAGAGAGAGGGGGAAGAGAAAAGTGATAAAGAAAAGTGACTGCAGAAGAACCGGAAAAGGGAGTAAACATAGCCGTAGTCAGGATATAATTATACATTTACAACTATGAAAATGAAAATGTGTAATCACAGCGGCCTTTTATATAATAATACAGGCCTACACAAAAAGAGGAAAGAATCAGCATGCATGCACAAGGAAAGAAAAGGTATTTAATTTTACAAATTGAACTGACGTGTTAGAGTTGACGATATCATCATGATCGAAATTGATGAGGTGCAATTAAGTGGTTGAATGCATTATGGATAATGTAGAAAACTAAGATAAGTACTTGATTTTAGGGTCATATTGCATGAATTATGGTTGTTTCCTCGATTGTTTTATGTCCTAGTCATAACTGTTGAATAAACATTCTATAGCAGGTGTCATTATCGTTAGATACACGTACCAAACCCATTTAATAGCATGGCAAATAACATAAATCTGTATAATTATGTAAATAAAAATGACCAATCTTTATATTCAAAAGTTTCATGTGTGAAAATAATATGGCTCGTTATGTTATTCATTTCTTCATATCTTCATTCGTCCATTCTTGTAATCAATATGGTGGTTTATATCACTGCATTGTGTGTATCAACAGTGCAATTGTTTATTAATTCACAATTGTTTAAAGATACTCGTCCTACTTATAGCGTAAAGGATTATGGGCAAACTTACCTGTAATCCTCTTTATTGTCTTGATCCAATGTTGTAAGTCTAAAGTAGTCGGTCTAATAAAAAGGATAAAATGCACAGATTCAAAATCGTCATTATCACGTGGTGATAATTAAAGAGGAAATTATAATGAAATGCCCACAATTTTATTCTCAACCCGCCCCTACCAAAGGCCACCTCAAAGAAAAGAAATTGTTGCTGATTTTCCTTGCCACATTGCCCCGAAAATGTGTTTATTTCGGTCCGCGGTATCAGAACGATGTCACGCGCCCTCAAGCGCCGAAATTTATGACCGTGAATCCTTCATAATGTCGATGTTAAAGATGTAAAGATATCAAACATATTCGGGCACTTTGCTGTCAAATTCGGGTAACAGAAGTAAGGAGAATCATTATAAAATCATGTTTGAATGGACGAAAGTAATAAACAGTGGCGGATCTAACTATTCTTCCGCTAGGGACAAACCATGACATTGCCCCCCCCCCTGCCCAAACGTATCCGCATTACTATACAAGCGAATGGGCAGTATATATATTGATTTCAATCTCCCAAAAATACAATTTCTTTTAACCATATAAATATTCCAAAGGCACCATCTACTGCAGCCAAAAGCGTACCAGCATTACCCTGCGATTACAACAATGGTAGTCGATTTCATTCAAATATGTATTGCCCATGTGAATATGGAGAGTGAGAAGATTAATACTCACCCTAGTAACAGTACCATACATCCGACCTTCCCAGCAAGGTGTCGTACACATTCTTCGTCTGAATCTGGTAAGATGGTAAAAGAGAACGTATTTGAAACATTGTGCATGATGAACCTTCTGGATACTATGAACATGAGCCTACATGCAGAAGTAGAAAGAGAACAAAGTAGTCAAACTTCTGTAGTTTTATTAATTGATGTGCCAAAATAACACAAATAAATGAATTGTTTGTGTTATAATATTTAAAGAAACTACACATAAATAATATGTTGTGGTAATAAAAACAGTGAACATAATGCGTGTCATGAAGAGAATCTTACATGTGTTTGAAAGTCGTGGAATCATACTAAGAAGTAATAAGGGGTGCCAAAATAACGCCGAGTCCGTGAATCTAAGTATAATAGGCCTATAAGTAGGCAGTGTAAATAATGGTACTTGTCCAAAAAAATGAACAGAAATACTTATATTTAACAACATCAACAGAATAAAAATGTTTTTTAAAAATCCAAAGACATCACTCTCTATTAATGAAATGATGCATCTATATATTATCATTGTTTGAGCTTCATGATATTGAAATTGTATTTGAGAAATGCTTGGTGTGGCGCCTTGTTTGAGAAATAACAAAAATATGAAATTATTCGCAGTTCTATTTGCTAATCTTAATGTCGTATTTGAAGATTGACCATGTCCAAGTACCTGTTTCTGCAAGTAACATACACACTTTTATGCTCATGCACCTTGCTAGGGAGTCTCCAAACTAATTACATCCGGCAGATCAGGTAAGTACATACACATCATCTAACCAAGAACTGTTTCAGATAGTTAACCTGTTAAATTAATCAATGGCCATGGGTGTCGATCCCGGGTGCATGGGGGATATATCCCCCAATATTTCAGGTGGAGGGGGGGGGGGTGGCCTGTACAATCATCCCCCCAACAATTCACCATCAAACAAACAAAAAATGAAGAGAAAAATTAATGATGAGAGCCCGATGAGAGTTAGATAATGGTTATTACTCGCAAGATGACCATCAATATACACATTTTGTTATCTCATTTCCATAATACATACGTAAATGAGAAAACCGTATATGAGACAAGAATAATTTGAATTCTCGCTCGTACGGCTTATTCAGGTATTGATGAATTTATTCAATTTATTCAATCAACAGCATCATAGAAATGCAGTGCGCCAAATGCAAAGCCGCAGCGTTAAAAAGCAACGAGCTAAATGTTAAGCGCGAAGCGCAAAAGTGCAATAAAGAGGTAGAGAGTGGAAGAGGGAGATAATGAGAGACAGAGAGGATACAGGGGCGTAGCCAGGGGAGCGGTGGGGGCGGTCGCCCCTCCCCCTCCAAAAAAAAACAAAAAACGCCGGTCCCCCAAAAGAGAGAGAGAGAGAGAGAGAGAGAAGAAAGGAAGAGGACGTAGGAAGAAAAAGGATTAAGAGTCGAGAACGGTACAACGAATCGTCTTCTTTCTCTAATAATGTAATGAAACGTCAAAGCTTCCACGCTTCGCGCGGGAAGAGGGGGGGGGGGGGAACGGAATTCAGACAAGGATTAAGAGTCGAGAACGGTACAACGAATCGTCTTCTTTCTCTAATACTCTAATGAAACGTCAAAAGAAACTGAATTTAGACAAGTATTAAGAGTCGAGGACGGTACAACGAATCGACTTCTTTCTCTAATAATTTGATGAAACATCAAAGCTTCCGCGCTTCGCGCGGGACGGGGGAAAACACCCCCTCCCTGCACCAACCCTCTAGGGAGCGCGCTTCGAGTGCTCACTACCGCCACCCCTAAAATAAAATCCTTGCTACGCGCTTGAGAGGATAATAACCCAGGTAGCAAGCCCATGTGGGACCCACATGGGTCCCATATTCTCTGAAATGTTATCTTTATTGAGGGTGACTTGAAAAAGTGAATAACTTGGAAGGTAGGGGGTGCAACCTGCCACACGCTTTTACCTCTTGGTTGCTTTGATCCATTACCGAAAACATTTTGGCACCTATCATTCCCCCCCCCCCCCACCACGGATACAAATCGACCTAACACATAATCATTTGTTTTTATTCGATTTTTTTCAAAGAAATATGATTACTTGCGCTCCATGTATTTGATTTGTGCCATGTAATAAGAATTCTAAGAGTTCTTTTTTACTGTTAAAACAATGATTGTTTAAGAGAACGCACGTGTTCACATATTTCTCCCTTTCAGGCGATAAAGGTAGGATGATGTCAGTAATTAATGGGTTATTCAAGCGTATGCCATGGTTCATACCCTCAATATACAAAAATGAAACAACTAAAGACGACTGATATTTAGCAAATATAATTATACAATTCAAGAGACTGAGTATAGCTAGGACATTGATGAATAACGAACGATTGCGATATAGTGTAGTATTTACCAACGTCTCTCTGTCTCTCTTTGGGGGAGTTTTTTTCTTTTCAGAGGTAGTACTGTATTTTGTATATTTTATTTCAAAACAATATTTTGACAGACTATAATATTTCATGTTCAAGCATTTATTATTTTTGGTTTAATTCAACAGATAAAGCGTTTTTGAAAGAAGCAGAAAATGAACATGAAATGACTAAGCAAACGAATAAGGAAATGTATGAAAGAGTTGTTTTGTTTAGCAATTGATGTTAGTTAAGAATTATACTTTTGAATTGTATTTTGATTATTCTAAATGTGATTTCAAGTCAGTAAGATGTAAATTGCATGATTTCGATTATATGTACTGCCTCTGGTATTGAGAAAATAAAACACCTTATAAATATTTTGTTTTAAACATGAAGTTAATTTCACGCATAAATAGGATCATCGCGCGGTTTTGTTAAACCGCCATAATTTTTCATATTTCATATTCAATTTAATTGAATTGAATTTAGTTTATTTTCTTCTGCAAAACATACAAATCAATCAATTGTTTACTACACATTGGGAATTTGGGTTTACATTCTCTCATTCTGGGCAAGTGGGAATTTTAGTTTTCAAGAGACAATAAAGAACAAAATAAGAAATAAAAATAAATTATTTTGTTTTACCCGACATATTTTGATTTTTTAGACATTCTTTACAATGATAGTTTATTTAGGATAAAGAGCATTCCGTCGGTTAAGTAATATCAAAAACATAATTTTCCCATACAGTTCATTATTTTA